AGGGTGGAGAATATCTAATCTAGAAAAGAAAAGGGTTATATTTAGCAGTGTGTAAACACTGTTACCAAATCAGCTTTTAATGAAACCTTATATGCAGGTGCAGAGATTTTTACAGTAGATTTCTTACTGTGTTATTTCTGTCAACACCAAAAGGTGACACCATCAAAGAGGAATAATGATAAGAAAAACATGACTCAGTAAAGCAAACATTTTACACCTGAACACACCTTTCAGTTCAGATAGACAAAACAAGGGGAGGTGGACCAGATATTCAACAGCACAAAAATGGATGTGGAGACTAGGAACAAGTACGTCTAATTCCTACTTTTGAATGCAAACCTTTGGGGATTCAGCAGTGAACACTGCCTCACTAACAACTACTTGCTGCTGCCACATGTGTAGTGTCAGTGTCCACTTTCAGGCATGGAAAATGTCTTAGTCAGGAAGTCACATGCAACTGCTAATGAGATCTGTCCCATAGGTTAGTCATCTATAACAGAATTCCAAGCATCTTCATCCAGCTCTATCAGCTGCATTAGTCATTCAAATTTTTTCTTCTTTCTCTCTCTGCTGTGAGCATTGCACCAGCCATAGTAATCACATACGGGAGCACATGGTGCTGAAAACCCCAGAGGAAGTGGCAGAAGAGACCTGCTGGTTTATACTCATCATGCTTCCTGTGCCTGTGGGAAAGCTGTTGCAAAAGCCTTGACACATGGCTCTCCTATGCACCTGTGGTTAGGTCTGTGCATTGCTGAGATTCCCCTATGTATTTACAACAAATTAGTGACACTTGTGCCATGTCAATCTTGGGGTCATTAAGACCCCTGGTAGATCAGGTGTGGGATGTTAAGATATGGGATGACGTTGTTTCCATTAACATATTCTGCTCTTCTACATCCAGTGGAAGCCACGTCCGTCATCCCTCCAAGTATCTCACATATGTAATGGAAACTGGGCTGTAATTCCTTAGGTTGAATATGACCCTACAGGGCATAGTATTGATGAATAGTCAAGAGAGGCTTGAACTACTTTTTCCATTAGAACTATAGACAGCATTTCAGTTAAAACATTCTCTCTGTGCCTTCCTTGGAGAAGTTTCAAGGGGATCAACATGTTTCTGAAACACAGATCCATTCCCAGAGAAAAGAAATCCTGACACAACTTCAGCAAGCCACACTGTTTATAAAAAAGAAGTTCTAGTTGCTTCAGTGAAAAGCTATGTGAATGCACAAGAAAAAAAATAAGGGGAAAGGTTTTTAATTTCTTGGCAATATCAAGTGTTTCACTCCCCTTTTCAGGAAGGAAAACAGAGAAGAATGGGAGCAAAACCCAGAAACCCAGACTGCTGAACACAGAACGTCGCTCAAATCTGTTTTCGTTTGTGGGATCTTTGCCCAGGGTTGAGAGAAGATTAATTATTAATAAATTAGCCAGTTATTACCAGATTGGGTGTGCCTTACATTAAAAACAACAAATCCCCCGCACCTGAAAGAGGAAACATCTCTCACAGACCTTGACTGAAGTCCAGGTGTATGGAGGTGTCAGTGGAGCAAGTTCTGGTTGTGAAAGATTCTGGTCATCAAGTTAATCTGTTGTCATCAGCTCCTGGGGCTGACTTTTGGAAGCATATAAAAGCCTCCTATTTGGGAGGCTTGTATTGAGTGCCTTCTTCTTCTCTCCTTCTAACAGCAGGAGATATCAGGTGAGTCCTATGCACATTTAGCTACAGAAGTGGGGGTTTATGATGCCCTGTTCTCAGGAGACAGGGTGATTTCTCTTTATTTTGTTTGTCTAGTAACTGTTTCAGTTCCTCTCCCTGGCAATTTCAGCTCCATACAGGTGAAAGCTGTATTATGTTATTTTGAGACTTTCTGAGGCTCTAAACGATGGCTTGCTGACTGTTTAGACCAGGAAGCCCTTATCAACCCTCATAATTTTTTTCCCAACTGATAAGAATGCTTGTGGATAACCATTGGGTACTGAGTATCACTACTAAAGGATGGCATTTGCCAGCAGCTTTTTTTGTATCCATCAAGCAGCCATGGGCTGATCGCTGCAGTCTCCTGGATCTCCCAGGCTCTGAGTTTCACTTCTTCCTATAAAACCGTATCACCACTGAGCAGGAGGACAGCTCCCTGGCATTGAATGGCCAGAGACAGGGCTTCTGCCCTGAGATGCTCAATAAACTAAGCAGAGACAAGGCATTGCTGGAAGGGATTTTTATCAAATTATTTTTCTCTTTCAAAACCATTTGCAATACTTAAATATCACCAGCTTTTTTATTAGCTTCTAATACTGCTCTGAGGTTCTCCTTGAACTAAGCATGCTTTCATCAAAATTTGTATTGCTTTTTAGCTTGTCACAGCTGAAGTGCTCAGAAAACAGTGAGCAGAAGGAAAGAAGGGAAACCCCTGTCATTGTTTCTCTTCCATCCACCTCTGTAGCCTGTTTGGATCACAACTTTAAGAGGGTGCTTGCTTCTTACTTGTTTATGTTTATGTACAGTTATGCCTCAGCAGAGTGGCTGATGTCCATAGACACTAATTGTAATAGGAGAGCAGAAAAAAAATGTGGGGCAGATACAGCAGACTGAAGTCACCAACAGGAATTTGGTTTGAACAGCATCCTCCTGCAGGATTTCCAAGGGTGGAGCTGGGGGTCAGTTGTATGGTTTTGCCTTTATTAACCTATATAGACTCTTCACTGTTGATTTGATCTCAAAGCTAAAGAACTGACTGGAATGAATATCCAAGAACAAGAAGTGTGTAGGGCTTAAAATAATTGAAATGGCATCTTGGTTTTCTTCCAGGTTTAGCAAAGATGTCTTCCCACCAGCAGAAACAGCAGCAGCAAATACCTTCAAAATGCCAGGAAAAGTGTCCTCCAAAGTGTGTGGAGCAATCCCAGGCCCCAAAAGGGCAAGCCAAGTGTCCTGTGAAGAGCATCCCGCAGCAGCAGCAGCAGCAGCAGTGCCCAAAGCAGAAGTAGCACTAACAGCAGTGGCCACAAAGTGCCATGGAAGATAGAAACACTTCCAAGCTCTCCTTTCTGCTGGCTCTGCCAGAATAGCTAAAAATTCGCAGCACACCTCTTCTGTTTGCAGGCAGAAATTACTTTTCAAATGATGCAGTTCATTAAATTGGATTTATTCATCCTTTAATATAAAGAACTAATATTGTAGGGGTATTTTCTTCTGATCTTTAGTTGGTTATGCTGCAATAAAATTATAAGTGACCTCATTATTGCTTCCTGATATTTTTTTAACTTTACTGGTGTCATCCATTTTCTATTGCTTTCTTTATTAGCCGAAGAGTTACCTTTAAACATTAACATTCAACATGCCCATTTAAATGCGGGGCCCTTTTTTCAGAGCTGCTTCCTGAACCTCCTCTGTGTACGTTTGAACCCGTTGCCCCTTGTGCTATCACTACAGTCACTGATGCAGAGCATCGTAGTATAATAATTGTTGTATATTAGTATAATGATTGTTGTATAATATTCTGAAGTATGCTCTTGTGGGTCTATCAAAGCAATTAACTGTGGATTTAGAGTCTAAACTATACTATAACTGCTGAGAGGAAGAGTCTTTGGAAGTTTTTAACACTGAAAGGAAGCTTTTGCCTGCTCAGAAGGAATAGCTTCTATTTTAAAAGGAGTATTCAGAATGTTTCAGCTTCTCAGCAGGACATACTGGCTCAGCTAATTGATTTCCAGTCAGCTGTATGGCAGAGGAGGAAAACTATAAATACAGACACTGTTGAGTGATATGATATCTGGCAGACAGACATAAGCTTGCTCTGCTAACCAGCAGCTGTGTGACTCAGTGAGGTTCTGTGATCAGACAATGAGATTGGATGTGTCTAACACTCATCTAACAGGTACAGGGCCAACCTAGTGGGATTGCATCACTCCTGGCTCATCTGAAGTGTGGGAAAACCTCCTTTGCTTGTGCTTGCTGCCTTATGTCTTCTCAAGGTCACATAGTGGCTGGGAATATGTTTGAACTGGGCAGACTGAAAGTGGGGACAGCTTGATGTGAGCTGATGTCAAGTGCTGTGCTCTGGGACGTGGTGTCTTGCTGAGGAGTGATCAGTGCTATCAGCCAGCCCAATAGGCTGACACAATACAGGAACTCTTGCCGGTTGTCTAATCCTGGTGCATGGAGAGGAGCAGCAGACTCAGGGTCCCCTGCAAGCACCAAAGTTTCTGAGTCTTGATTCACCCAGCTTTGAGCCTAAAAAATCTCTGACTGTTCCAAGCCGAGGCTTCTTTTCATCTCTTTAAGCAGAAGTGATTAAGAATCTCCACAACCTGGTATTCAAAGTAATTTTTATTGTTGATTTTCACAGTGAAATAAATCCTGGATACAGTATCAGCCTAAAATAATTAGAGGTAAGTACCAAATACATACACAACAGCACTGTGTCGTGAAACATGTTCCAGGGTGTAACTGAGACAGCACTCTTATGCTTCCTCCTTTATCCTGTCTAACAGATGAAAGCCACACCTGAAGTTAATCTATTTCGAAACATGTCTGGATTGGATTTGATTATCTATGTTTTCCATAAATAATCTCATCTTAAGCTGCTCTTTTACACATGCTGGATAACCCAAAGTGAGCTCTCTGAGGAAAGCACTGATTACAAATACTTCAGCTAAGCAGATAATTAAGAGGTGATGTCTCTTTTGTAAAGTATTTCCTCTAGCCCAGTGTTATTTTTTTGATACATAAAATATTCAGCACTATGGATTTGTGATTCAGAAAGTCTCATTGCCATTTATCAGAACCCCTTAGCAGCAGGTTCTACACAAACCTGAAATCCTATTATTAATAGGCAAAATCCCTAACTGCAAGGTGGGAGATGACATTTATCCATGGGGAGCTTGGAGAGGAAGCCATGAGCTCTAGATCCCTAACTGCATTTGGGTTAAATTTATTGTTCAGCTTAATAGACCCGACTCATCCGTGCCGTCATGCTCTTTGGTCTCTTTCTGGGCCTTTGAAAGCCAGAGGGATGACTGGGAAAGGGCAGAAATTCAGGCACCTGAAAAGCTGAATGCACATGCCTACGACACCACTTGAAGCCTTATCTATTGCCAGTCTCAGCATGTCAGTTAGCTTATGGCTGTTAGTACGGGATAACACTAGTGTTAGCTGGGAGGGGGGAGTTGGAAGCTGTGTTTCTTAATAGAAATTCTGCAGTGAATAAAAGGGTGTTGGAAAATGACCTCTGGTTGTGAGACATGGGGAGAGGAAGATTGGGTTTGCAATCTCCTCTCTTCAGGGCTTCCCTTGTCAGCTGCAAATTACTTCTGCATGGGTGGCCACTGGTTGGGCTGCTTCACCTGCTGCTGCTCAATGGGAGGATACTTCTCTGGATGGGAGGACTTCCCTGAATCAGGGCAGGGAGCAGGGATTGGTACAGGGGTGTCCCTGTGCTCCTGCTTCTCTGGAGGGTGTGGGGTGGCCACAGGGATCTCCTTGCACTCCTTCTTGTCTTGGGGATGTGGCGCAGGTTCAGGGCATGGAGCAGGGATTGGCACTGGGATCTCCTTGCATTCTTGCTTCTCCTGAGGACACGGTGCAGGTTCAGGGTGTGGAACAGGGATTGGCACGGGGATCTCCTTGTGCTGTTGCTTTACTTGAGCACACGGTGTGGGTTCGGGGCAGGGAGCAGGGATTGGCACAGGGGTGTCCCTGTGCTCCTGCTTCTCTGGAGGGTGTGGGATGGGCACAGGGATCTCCTTGCACTCCTGCTTCTCCTGGGGGTGCGGTGCAGGTTCAGGGCATGGAGCAGGGATTGACACTGGGATCTCCTTGCATTCCTGCTTCTCCTGGGGACATGGTGCAGGTTCAGGGTGTGAAACAGGAACTGGCACAGGGATCTCCTTGCACTCCTGCTTCTCCGGAACATGTGGAGTTGGTTTACAGCCAGAAACAGGAGCTGGCACAGGTAGCTCTTTGCACTCTGATTTCTCTTCAGGATGTGGGACAGGCTCAGGGTGTGATACAGGTGGGAAAGCTGGTGGTAGCTTGCACTGCTGTTGCTGCTGTTGTTCCTGGAGTGGACTCTTGGGTACTACTATCACTGGTGTTTCTCCCTTGCCTGGTTCCACCACTGGTGCTGGCAATGGCACTGCTTTTTCTGGTATCACTTCTACTGGAACTGGCTCTGGGCAAGGTGTTGGGACTTGGACTTCAGGTTCTTGCTGGGGATGTGGGACTGGATCAGTGCATGGCACAGGGTCTTGGCTGTGCTTTGGAATTGTCTTGCTCAGGCCAGGTGGGAGCAGGATTTCCTGCTTCATTTGCATTTGATTCAAAGACATCTTTGCAGAAAACAAGATTATCTGAAAGAAAAGTCAGAGTGTTATTGTGTCTCACAAATGAACTGCATTGTGATAAGGGTGGGAGAACTATAAGAAAAATTGAATCAGCTGCAAGCATAAAGTTCTCTTAGTTTGCTTTTGGTTTCCCAAGGCAGGTTTGCTCAAACGAATAATGATTTGCTCTTTCTTTTTCATCTTGCCTTTCAGCTCCTGTTCTGACTGTTTCATCTTGTCCGTCCTTTCTGTTCTGCAATGTGGGAAAGCCCTATCAGGTCTAACTGTGGTAAAACTACTCGTTTTCTTGGAGCTGATTTACACTTCAAAGATCTTTCTCCTGTTGCTTCACACTTCTCAAAGTGTTAACTCTCTTTGATTTCTGTCCTGAGGAGTTAATGAGAGAGGCTGGCAAATAACTGATCTGCTGATTTTGAAGGTGGTTTCAGAAAGTAATAATAATAATAATAATAATAAAATGGATGCTGAAGACAGGCATTTAAAAAGGTTTGGTCTATCAAAAAGTAGAAAATTATTAACCTGGGCCCAATAGAATATTTCACATTGGGAAAACTGAAATGCTTCCTTTGCTTTTACCCCTTTTAAAATGGTTTCCAGATTTTACTTGGAATTAGAGAACTGAGTTGCTAAGACCTCAAAGTGGACCTCACCAACAAGCTGAATAGCTTTCTGTAGTATAAAGAGTCTTTGCAGTAACAGTAGGCCAACTCCTCCTCTTGCTCTGGTTTCACTCTGACTGCATCTATGATATAATGGATGGAGGTTACCTGTGGCACAGTTCTTCCAGCTGTCATGGAAAGAATTAGCAGTGGTAATGCCTCCTTATGTGTGTGGAGTATCATGGCCACTAATAATACATGAAGCTTGTGTGAATCAGAATAATCAAGAGGGATTTCTTCTCCCAGGGCCAGTAACGTGCAACAGGCCAAATGGATTTATGAAACTGCCCTTGTTTTGTGGGCTGCTGAAGGTAGGCACTAGGCTCAGCTGAACTCCTGTTGTGTCTTTGGGAAAGCTCGCGTTGCTGTTTTTCTAAAAACAAGCTAAGGTCACAAATAAGTTTAGAATCTCAGAAGTGTTTCTTGGAAGGGGCATTTTTAAGTCCCCTCAATGCAGGACTGTCAGCAACACAGGTCACGTAAGAGTGTGCAAGTTCATTCTCCCTTCCTCATGTTGCCTACTCCTCTCAACACATCTTCAAAGCAAATTAATTCCTCTCTTCTGCATCTACCCAGATCCTCCCGATCAATGTCACTTGTCTCTTAGTATTTTCTTTATAAAGATCTGATAAGATATTAAGCCAAATTAATATGTTCTTCTTGATATGGTTAACATGAATGAGACACCACACTAGGAGTACTTTCACCCTTCTACTCCCTACAGCCCCTCATACTCCCAAATCTATCTTTTACAAAATAATTCTTCAATGAAACTGGAGTTTTAAAAGAAGTCTTGTTATAAACAGCAGACTTGCAGAGAACAGTTTTGGAGGGAGCTCTTAAGGGGCCATTCAGACTCCCTCCTTCCCTGAAGGCCGCATCAATTATACTTAAACCAACATATTTTATCTAATCTCTTCTTCAGAGATGTAACTATCCTCACATTTACACACAATCTGAATTTGCCTTGCAGAGTTATTCCAAGAATCCTTGTCCTACCCCAATGCCCACAGTTTCTTTTCTTTGAAGGTATCTTGTGCATATTCAAAGGTATCGAATAAAACATTTCTTTAAAGAGTCTGCCTACATTAAGCCAAGCAGCAAAATTATAGACATCACAAAAAAGCATCAGTATTCTCTGACTTACCCAATCAGCCAACAGGGAGAAGCACGAAGTCGAGTGGATGGTGCAGCACAGAGATTTGAGAACTTTTATATGGTTTCAAAGCCCTGCCTTCTGGGAATGAGTCCTCTTAGGTAATGAGCTCATTCTTTCACAACTGCCGTTGTGCATTTCCTCCACGGACTTGTTTTACACGTAGGCACTGTGAAGAAAGCCTTTTGGTGCAGAATGTGTTTTATTCCCTGTTCTGACTAGTCTGATTTAACAAAAATTTTCTGGGTGAATAAAGTTCATACCCTTAGGTTAATACGTTCATTGCAGACCCCATGGAGATCAGGAATCTTGGTGTGGTGTCATCCAGCATGGTTCCACTTCAAACCATGCATGAATCATTTAATTTCACCTAATTCCCCCGCTTCTTAGGATTGTATTTGTAGTTTAAGATAGGGGGGCTAATCTGTACTTCTCTCACCTGCTTTTCATCAATGAATTCTCTAAAGGGACTTTCTTAAGATTCTATAAACTCATAAGGGTTGTTTTTATTTTTTTTCCCATAAAGATCTTCATAGATTCCATTCTTCTTTCATTTTAGAACAAAGTTTTGAACACATCTTATTGTCCATCACACAGAAGATGTAGATCCCACCCACCTACATGTGACAGAACAGGGAACTGAGTTTATCTCCATGTATTATGTGAAAAGGGATTTTTTAAATAATATACAAGATTTATCACACCCAAATGGGATTTGGACACTGGTCTCATTTAGGTGCCAGGATGGCATTTGAAAAGATATTTCAATCTACATGTGAAATTTAGGGAGCTTGTAGTATATGCAGCTTGCTCCCTAAGCATTATTCACTGTAAAACAAGTTCATTGAGTGAAAAGAGCTCACTGATTATGATCCTCAAAATCTCAGGGAGCTATCAGTATGCAAGTCAAACTGTCCTCATTTCTGATGGTTGGATTATTTTCAGCAGTGGAGACCACACATCCTCCACAGAGGTGAATTTCATCACATTTGGCTGTCCTGAGACTATCTTTGTCCTCTCTCCACCATTTTACCAGAGCTCTTATCAGAGCACGCACTGCAGATGCAATCGTTGCAACAGGCTGAGCTGGTACCTGTCGCCAGTTGGGATTCCTGGGGTGCAAATGTAAGAAGCTGTTTCTAGCTGTGGTGTAACTTCCTCTATTAATAATTGTTTGGCAATTGAAGTACAGAACACCTGAATTTTAGACCATGTCCTCTCCTATAGAGTGACTTCACCTGTGCAACTTCCTTTCTTGCCTCATGGCAGGTGGGGCCCTGCTTGGCTCTGGAAGCTGCTGAGTTTCAGTCACCAGCCTTTGCTAGTGAGGGGAATATTCCAGCCCAGGACTTAACTCTGACTCAGGCCTTGCCTGTTGCTCTGCTGGTACAAATTGCAGTTATAGCTCTGCTGAAGGCAGGAACTAGAGCACTTTCCAGCAGTGGAGAACCTGCCTGTCTGCTTTCTAGGTAGTATCATGCTTCGTGGTTATCAAAATAGCCCTTCTGCTGAGATAGGATCCTGAAATATAGTACTTCAAAGCAGGAAGATAGAATAAGCTCAGACTCATAATAAAGTGGTTTTTAATCATTGCACTTGTTGGCTTGAACACAACAGAGCACCTGGGTATGAAAGGAGACTGTGCATTTCATCAGCTCAAACACTGTATGTAGTATTTGTGCAACATACATTAATATGTATCTTCAGGTCAGAGCTTCACTAACCTTTATTATGCCCTTCAATTAGAACTCCCGAGAGAAAGAGGGCACTTAGTACTTGTGCAGCATGTGGAGGCAGCCTGTTGAAGTGTCTCTGTGCGTAAATAAAAAGTGTCTCTCTGTGTCGAGACACTGTTTTTACTTAAGCAAGCTGTGAGGTTTCTGGACTATTTCAGAGTCCAATTTCCAGCCTCAACTTGCAACATCAAGTGATTCAAGAAAAGCACTTTCCATAGCTGAAAGGGAGATGACCTGAACCCTGTCTGGAAATCAGAAGGTGGGGCCATCCTGACCTTAAACACTGCTTTGGATCCAGGTCTGGAGAGACTCGGGGAGGTCACTTCACCTCCATGTCAGCAACCTCAGCAGAAAAATGATGGTAATTATCGTTGAAGAGGCTCTGAAGTCAGCCCGTGGAAAGGGAGTGAGTGTTTTTCCCATAGTAGAGGTGTAATTGCTTTCCCCTTCCATGTGAATTGCACAAAGACTATTTTTAGAGCAAATGCCATATGCAGTGAAACCTGCCTTACTGAAACTTTGGGAAACTACGGGAGAAACGTGCACTGAGTAAGGTGGCCTTACAGTGAACGTGGAGCTAAGCAACTCCTCAACTCTCACCTGATGGAGCCCAGCTCAGCTCCAAGTCAATACTGAAGTTGTACCACTAATTCCAGGGAGCATAAAACCACAGGTGAGAAAAATACTGGCCTGCGCCCCTCCTTCCTAGAAAGAAAATGCTATTCCAGCTCCCACACAGCTTGGCTATCAGCCCATCAGTAAATGCTAATCAGGTAATTAAATGCCCCAAAATCTAAGATGCCCTGGGAGATATGCAACAGTTATGCTAGCAGCTCCGAATGGAGGTCTGTAGTTGTCAACTTTATCTGGTGTATCACTGAGATGAGTGTGGCAATATTTCAAAGAGTCCAGAAGCTGTATTGCTTCAGGATGAAAAGAAGGATCATTGTTTTAGGAGTGAAGACCACTGCGGAGGACCTCAGCTCAGGCTGTGAAATGTTCAGTCTGACCTTAACCTCATGTCTGTATGAATACTCCTTGATTTTTCTCCATCCCGTACTTTGAACTTTTGTGCACAGAGAAAACCATCTGAGGAAACTATTGCACTCCTGGATTTCATGTCTTGGTGTGACTGAGAAGTTGCTGAACTGGATCTCCCAAGACACAGGGCTTGCCCTGATGGCTTAATTAGACACTGTTTCGTTAACACCCCATCTTGTTCTTTATTATTGTGTCTGTCATCATTTTAGGGTGGATATCTTGACTAACTCATCTCACGAGACAAAAGACATAATTACCTGTTACTAAATTTCCTAGTATCGGTCTGTCTGCCTGTGAGTCCAATCACTAAAGCATCTTCTCCCCTCGTGCTGGAGACTGATCAAGGGTCAAGTCATGTTTCAGAAGATGAGAAGCTAGTCACCCATAGGGATGTCCAAATGCTGTAGTA